TCCAATTTAGATTAATGAAAAACTCTGGGGAATTATTATCAGTTTTTCTATTAGCTCGTGAATTATACATCTTTGGGGCGAAGAGATAGTTTTTAACTTTTTATTTTTGCTGCAGTAAAGTTTATAAGCTTAAACCTGACCTCTAAAATAAATTGTCCGTCTGTTTCTAGTTTTGGCTTATGATAAGGAAAATGGTTTTCGTCTAAGGAGGGCATAAAACTTTTAATATTATTTTATGGCCAGACGGCGTGGTCTACATCTGTTCTATATTTTATCTGTATGAAATTAGACGTGTCGGGGGTACAAGTTATACGCGATTCATATGGATTATATTTTACCAGACAGAAATATAACACAGAATAACGAAAAGGAAGCAACATATTCAATTTTACAGTATATCTTATTAAGTTACTTAAAACAAGTATTTTAATATAGATATGTAAAGTTTGGAGACTTCAAATTAAATTTGAAGTACTCTAATAGAGGAAATAAAGAAAAAAAGACAAAAGAATGGCGGATAATTGTTTATACAGGACGTTGGAACTGAAGTACGATTTTTCTCATTACATATTGAAATAATATTGAAATTCTTGGAGCTTCACAGTTAATTCAAAAGTTACGAAGTTACTCTTGTAAACTTTTTTATTGCTGATTTTCCCAGAAAAAGTTATTCTCGACAAAATTTTTTGCTTATCTTGGGAAGCCATGGACAGTAATCAAATAGGTATGTAATAAAACAACAGAGCGTCTAAAAATTATCAAAATGTCAAATTTTCTCCAAGAAAATAAATTGAACTTAATTATATTTATTTTCATTTCTCGTAACACGTCGACTCAACGCCCCGAGTCCAAATATATGCGGAGGGGATTAATAACACATGGAGCTGTTAATCGACACAAATTTAGAATATCGATCCTCATAAGACCGCTCTTTACTCGTACAAATCTTGCTAACTACGACCTACACATTCCCTAGAAGTAACACCGAGGCGAGTTAGAGGAGACACGCTGGTTCGGTGAAAGCTTTTACTCATTTAAAAAAAAATTCGATGCAGTATTAATCGACACCCAGCAAGGCTTTCAAAGGACAGGGACACGTGAGCGCGCGGTCCATTATTTTGCAATAAAAAGGCCACCATTGAAAGCACTCCCGCGCTAAATGAAAAAAAGATCAAAAAACTAATTTATTATCTCACGTAAGTGGAAGACGGTTTGTTGTCTTAGTTATCGGTGTCGAACTTAATGTCATTTGATTCATAACTTAACCATTTATTATTCCAGTCTTTTTGACCGGTGCAAGAAAAAGGCGAAGGAAACTTTATTTTTAATTGTCTACACGACTGCGTTACGAATATCGCAAATCAAGTTTTCCTGTTTGACTCGACAACAGTGTGTGCTAACGTACGTGTAATGTTGTAGATACCGAAAATAACCAAGTGAAATTTTGTTCGTAAAACCAAATTTATGCATTAAATTCATAAATTTCCCGTTAGTAGATGCTTCACCCGTTATTTTTATAGTCATTTTAGTAATTATTTTGATATATATTCACAAAACTATCCCCTACGTCCTATTTTTGCGCCGGTATTGTACATAGTTATCATTATTATCACAAAACTTCACAAGATCTAAGGAAAACTTGAAAAATGTGGCAACACCGCCTCAGGGGCATCTCTCTAGTTGCATACGTGAACCAAGATTATCCCGTAAGAGTAAGAAGCGTGTAGCAGACCGTTCATCCCTTTCTGTCTGCAGAGATTCCGCCACAAGCGCATTTAAAAATTTTACAGTTTGAAAATCATAGACATTTTTTACCACGTGTTACAAAATTTAGCGGACTGTATGTGAATAAACAACAAAATTGATTACGAAAAGATAAAAGCGACTGGTTGCAAAGCGACTTACCGATGATGCAGCTCTGTTGGTGCAATGTACATTGGTAATGGCCTGCAGCTTCCAGTTTTTTTCTTGTTGGATTTTAACGAAAATTCACTTAACGGTCAATTCACGTGCGTACACAAACGAGTCGGTTTTCGAAGTGCCGCTTGCAACCTTTTTTCCCGTGAGGTAAAAATACTTTATACAAAAAAGCTAAATATTACAAAAAACGCGAAAACTATAATTGACAACACATAACAAATTTCTCTATGGAATAATTATTCAATAGTGTTAAACAAAAATACTTAATATCTAATATTAATACTAAATTATTACTTGCGGACGCAACACCACGCTTGCTCAAAGTCTATTTTATACTTCCCATACCACAGTCAAGCTTGTCGTATGCACTCTTTCCTTGATCATTAATAAAAAAATATATAAAAAAATATATCGTCCATACTGATCGATAACGGTAGGCAAGACAGTGTTGCCGGATCGTTAAAACTGATTGTGAGTTAACCATAATTAATAACGTCATTATAATGTCATAATTTTTGCATAAAATAAGGTGACGTTTGAAGAAGTAAATATTATTATTTGCATTTAAGGAGGTTCGATACCAAAAGAAAAATGGTAAGAATGTTTTCAAAGCAATTGAAATCTGTTAATAAATATGCAAACTGACTTGTGTAAAAATATCAGATCGATTGACAACGTAGTTTTTTTGAAAAATGAATTTAAAAATTATGCTCTTTTACACAGGCTCTTATGGGAGTTGGGAAAAAACTTTCATCAAACGTGAATATTGCTCTTAAAAATGGTTAGGATCGGGAAAATAAAATTGTAATTAAAGAACTAAATATTACTAAACATTTTAAAACAATAAAAATATGCACTTACAATGTAATTATTGAGATAATGGAATGAATAGATAACGTTTTGACAAATTTGAACAAACATCTGATCCAATGAAAGGAAATATGGCAACACTGTACGCTGTATTTAATGCTTCGACTGATGCGTTATATTTGAATAGCTCAATTATAGATTATAAAATTATTCCATTCGAAAATATATGTAGTAATAATTAATATTAAATAAATTTTTCGTGATCTAAAGCAATATACTAGCAATTTGAAACAAAAATTGAAAGGATCTCTTTGCAAAACGAACAGTTTAGTTGTTATGTCACAATCTTCAATTTGACAAGTCGACGTCTCACTATCATACATTGAACTTCTTGATAGTTATCATATGGATTCTCGGTTTGCACATTTTATTTTTTTCTCATCAATCCACATTCTGTTTTACACTCATTTTATACTTTTCAGTAATTACTTTTCCTTTGTACCTTGGTTGTTCATTCATGTTTACGGAATTCGCGCAAAGTTGACAGTAATGACAGTTGACCTAACTTTTACCACCACGCCATGGCAATGTTGCCAGATTTCATCCATAATTTTACAAGCTCGTAATGAATAAATAGACGCTTTTATTCAAATAAAAAGTGAACTGACGTGTATTAAACACGACAAAAATATGTAAGCTAATATGTGTGTATAAATTTCATTCTAAATAGCATACTTAGTTCGCTGAAATTAATTTATGTACGGTTGGTACTGCAACAATACTCCCGTGTATAAACATAGGCATATTCTCCGCACCGCCCGCCCCGTAAGAGGTGTATCGAACGTCCTTAAAAGCAAACGGTTACTATTGCAGATAGGTTTTGATTTGTTTTTATAAAACATGCTGCAGTTATAAGGCAGACACTCTTTGTACGATACTGATCGATTTGATTGGCTTGCTTTGTAGTCGTGTCAACGACCCGGCAAACCAGTCTTTGTCAAAATATCGTTCTCGCTTCAAGTGCAACGGATTTTGTTTCAGTTGGAATGCTGAGAAAATTAAAATTAACAATGTTGGAAAATACCCCACTCCGACACAACATTTATTTATTGTATTTTTCACTTTCAAAATTAATGTCTCAAATCTGTTGCCATTCTAGAATAACCCTCGGCTAGTAATTTCAATTTATTCCCACTCTCTTGTGATATTATTGAAAATATGCAAATTCCTTGACAAATGGAATTGCGGATGTGGTTACTAATCACAGACGACGATTATTATTTCTTCTTTACGTTAAGTTGGGGATATTTGTGCGGTTTGTAAGCCACATCGTTGCGTAAATTGCGAAAAAAACTAATTTAAACAGTTTTTTTATCACCAAAAAAACCACAGCGTTTGGAAAATCTTAGAAATAGTATGTAACATGACGTTTTGAAATAAACTGGCTGTAGAAAAAAATTAGTGTTCAAAGCTTGCACTTGATATGGAATTAAATGACAACAAAGACTCTGGTTAGGAATTTGAAGGTGAAACAGAACAGATTCGGGAAGAAAAAACGACAATTCCTTTGAAACATTAGTTTGCTGAAATCCCATTCATGGAACTTTCGTTGCAAAAACCGTTTTTTCTTAAGAATTATCCTCGATTAGTACTGCCTCGAAAATAATGAACGGCTGAATATTCAAATAGAAACGCCAAACCTCAAACATATTTAAATAAACTTCTGATCGCTGTACTCGCTGATACTGATGCAGAAATACCTAATTACCATCATCCAGAGCAAAACGAGGGGAGTATAATCCCACCACTTAAATATTAATTAATATTTCCAAACTCCAAATGGCTGCAGATATACCGAAAAGCCTCTCTAAAAGAGAAACCCTCGTATTTACGTTCGCGGAACTAATATAATTTATAAGGAGGCCATAAATATCAAATAAAATTCAAGTAGCTCCTGTTAAAATGTTATATGCACGTACGTGCTATAAAATTGTACGTTAAATTGCATTAATTTCATGTATGTACAGGAAAAAAAAAAACAGGAAACTTCTCGTTGGCTTTTCCCCCCTCAATTGCCGCCCCACACCACAAGTACAAGAGTAGGTAGGAGAAATATATGCAGTTACCGTCTTAGGCACTCGAGGCAAAGATATTACAATATTTTTTTATACAAATAGTCTGTCAGGAAAATGTTACGTCAACTTTCCAGCGTATTTCATCGTGTTCCCCATCAAAAATATCACACATATGTATTATAAAAGATAACTCACCTGTTAAAAACGAAAGTCTCCTCATGGCGGGAAAGGGGTGGTTCCCAGAAGTATCTAATATGTCTAACTGATATATCTCTCCCCTAATCCTATATAGTTTCCTATGAAAGTCTTCAATGGTTGGTGTATAGCTCTCCTGAAATTTACCTCCTAGAAACCGCGAGACTAGGCAGGTTTTACCTACCCTAGCTGAGCCTACAACAAAATTTTCTAACTTTAGACCAGGGTCGATAATTTTTGAAAAAAAATTATGGTAGGATGAAACCCATTGGAAAAGAAAGAGAATATAACAGAAATGAAAGGAAAAATAATTTACGGGCGATCTGAGGTCGGGAAGGGGAAGGGGATGAGTTTTTAAAGGTAAAAAACGGTTTATCTTGGTTTCCGGAAAAACTACAAGTCTTATGGAAAAAAGTTAAATGGCAAAGTTGTAGGTAATAAAAAGATCTACAACTTTAGTATTCACACTTTTTTCACATAACCTCAAAATTTATGTGAAAAATTCAAATAACCAAGTTTTTGGTTTTTTATTTTTTTTACAAAAAAAAAATTTTTCACGAAATTTGGTGAAAACTTACCTATTTATGTCCCAAACACGCTGTAATTTTTTTGATTTGAAATATTTATTTTTTCACCTTATTTTTACTTAATATCGAAAAAGCACCCTAATTTTCAATCGAAAATTCTCACGTCAAAATATCTGCTTTTTTAAAAACGTCGGTGGGCTTTTTCTTCGTTGAAATCTCTACTTTCTGATGGTGTAAAAAAATATATACATTACTATGGTAAGTTTTCTCAGGAAATGCAAAGAAACGAACTAGAATCCGAAAATTTTTTTCTAATCATTATGTACAATTTTGAGCTATTTATTAAAATTTACACTTTAATTACTCGAAAAACGTAAGATTCCATGTTACATTGATAAACAAAAAAATTACAAGTCGAAATATACTATTATAATTAACAACCAAATAAGTTAATAAAGTTAATATTTAATAAGACATCTACAATATTTTGAGAAAGTTGTAGAATCTTCTTTCGTTTCTTTGCATTTCCTGAGAAAACTTACCATAGTAATGTATATTTTTTTTAACCATCAGAAAGTAGAGATTACAACGAAGAAAAAGCCCACCGACGTTTTTAAAAAAGCAGATATTTTGACGTGAGAATTTTCGATTGAAAATTAGGGTGCTTTTTCGATATTAAGTAAAAATAAGGTGAAAAAATAAATATTTCAAATCAAAAAAATTACAGCGTGTTTGGGACATAAATAGGTAAGTTTTCACCAAATTTCGTGAAAAAAAAATTTTTTGTAAAAGATCAAACTAAAAAACCAAAAACTTGGTTATTTGAATTTTTCACATAAATTTTGAGGTTATGTGAAAAAAGTGTAAATACTAAAGTTGTAGATCTTTTTATTACCTACAACTTTGCCATTTAACTTTTTTCCATAAGACTTGTAGTTTTTCCGGAAATCACGATAAACCGTTTTTTACCCTTAAAAACTCATCCCCTTCCCCTTCCCGACCTCAGATCGCCCGTAAATTATTTTTCTTTTCATTTCTGTTATATTCCCTTCCTTTTCCAATGGGTTTCATCCTACTATATTTTTTTTCACTTTCTACCATTTTTGAAGGCTTAAGCACTGGTCTACTTAATTGTTTGTTTTTTATATTCCTTAACATTTTCGGCAAGATATTTAGTATACCGGGCGCTCCGTTAACATGTCTACCAATCGAGTTTAAAATAACAAACAATATAATAGTTTTCATTTCGTGCGTATCATTCGCGATTTAATTTTGTTGTTATTTTATGTCGTTTTGGATTTATTTAAGATGTCTAGCAATGGTTCAAATATTGAAGTGAATAAATAAGAAAAAGGTGTAAGAGTAGTAAGAGTATGCGAAATTTAGTTCACATTTCCCCGAAAAATATCAGCTTTCAGCATTAGAGTTTGATCCGGCATACTGAAAGCTCATTAAAAATCCGAGGAAAACTTGCCAAAAGTATTAAGAAGAGAAAATAATATATCTTATGTGCTTTTTGGTTCCGTAAGGTTATTAAGTGAATGAAACTTTCTGCTCTTTTCTATATAAATATTTCTGATGAGTTTTTCTCTCACTTTAATAACTTATTTAATTTAATTCCATCTGCCTCTTAAGAAAGTTAAGTCAACTAGAACAAATAAACGTATTTCCACTGTTACTTTAGTACTTTTTTAGTACTTTACAAACTTCCTGCTTGACGGAAGGTTACATACAGAATGTGAAATTTAATACACAATATTAAGAAAGTTTAACCGACGTGTTGGCAATATTTTAGAGTTATATTTTGATACTTTTCGATGATAGAAAACATCGTGTTCCAGAGTATAACAATAATTTTAGAGAATTTAATAAAAAATTTCTCTACCTTTATCATAGGCTTAAGAAATACGAATATGAAATAGAACAAAATTCTAATTAGTTTATTTTTTATCTGTGTCTCGCTATTTCAGTGAAATACACTAAACCTTTTTATTATTTGCATGCGAGACTGTCCGGCTATAAAATACCAATACTGTAAGATGTATAAATTATTCTCGTGACCTAAACAGATAAAATGGAATAAATGTTTTCGCCTTTGTTTTTCCAAGAGTCAACTGTTATATATTTACATTCGGGAAAGTATCAGGTAGAAACCTGTTTTATTAAAAGTAAACATATACCAATTCGATATATAAATAGAAAAGAGATCTGGCTTTATATGACTTTTGTCCGAGAGAAAACCGGAAGTAAAAACGCTCTGTTATGCTTAACTCTAAAATTACTGCAAAATTCATACAATATTGTTAAAATTGTTTATGTGTGTACCTACTACGACATTCAGGGCAGCGTATTAAAGTTTAAATTTGTGAACCAAATAGAAGTTTCAGTTTTTTAAGATGTTAAGGATAAGAGGACTTACCCAACATGACCAGTCGGTAGCAGTTTTTCGCGGGAGGAACGACGTCGTCACAAGAGTTTGAACTTCCAGGACTTGGTCCTGGTCCCGAGGTCACTACGGACTGGTAATCCGACGTCGAATTCGGTATTTTGCCGTCTCGCTTGGCACATAACCAGTTCGTGCAAGAGCTTAAATTCATTGTTGCGTATATTAGCAGAGCTGAACATTACGAGATTTTTCACACTGCAACAAAAAGATTCGAATTTACGTACACATTGTTTCTTTCTTTCTTTGTTTTTTTTTAATTAAATATTAATTGACCCAGCTACCATCCGCCAAAGTTTGTCACCCCATTAAACATTTTTCAGTTTCTGACATGTTTCAGAAACGTTTCCATTTTTCTTGAAACGTTTCATAAAAAATCCATGCAACGTTCTGGTAACGTTCTAGAAGCCCAAGATGTCCTCCCCAAAATACGTTTCCAATGAAACGTTTCAAAAAATTGGTTTCAGTAACATTCTTTTTATGTTCCATTTATGCCCTCGATATTTTTGTTTTACGTTTCAGTATATTTTCAGAAATGTTTGAGTAACATAATAATTTTATTACCATATTGTTCTCATAATGCTCTCAACTTTAGATCATTTTCATTTCAAAAGCGTTTTTGAAATAGTATAAATAGTGTGAGTATTTTTTTAAATATCTCTAATACTCCTTTGTGATATTTTTATTTGTATTGTGAATGACTTAATTCGAACTAAAAAAAGTTACATTGTATATTAAAAAAAAATAAATATGCTCTTCTAGTTTGGGGATGCGGCAACTTTTACTAAGAATTTCTTTCTTTTTGAGAAGCCACTGAAAAAAGTTTCTAATATGGATTATGAATTTTGCCATTCATCGTACAAATAAAAATATCACAAAACAATATCAGAAGCATTAAAAAAAAGCTACACATTTTATATAGTTCAAATACGCTTCTGAAATGGAAATTTTCTAATGTTGAGACCTTCATGAATATGGTAACAATGACGAACTGATAATTAGAAAAAGTTAGTTATGATTATGAATCTTAAAATGGTAGGTATATGAAAAACAAATAACATTACTAAAAAATAATATAAAGTTATAATTTCTTCTACGCATGGTCAATATTACATATATCCTTTTAATAATAATAAATTATACAGCAGAAATAAGGATACAAAATGATATCTTGACAAAGTAAATATCTGTAGGTATACCTAAACTCTTTTATTTAAGCATGCCTATACACATAAACAAATATAAACATTTGTACAAAATATAAAATAAATGACGTCTATTTCACTTGATTCATCCATATTTCAAATAATTCTCACTGACTAAGTAGTTGCTCTTCAAATTATATCGAAACATATGTTGTTGTTCCATTTTCTTAGTTCTTGTCCCTTGTCCTCTTGTCTGTAATTAATAGTAGTGGGTATAGCTATATTTAGGTAGATGTGACGCAAAATTGGAAATCTCTAAACATATCGTTTTAAACATTTTGCATCAATATTCATTATTTTATATGCACCTTACAATAACCACAACTGCACACACTACAAATTATCACATAAAATAGTGTCAAAGTAAAGACGAATAACAACGAAACCAAGCAAACTGACAAACCGCAAACCTAACCTAACATAATACGAATTGAAACGACACACGGGAAACAAATAAACTCGGGCTGTTACGCGCAGTCTACGCAAGTCACGAACATACATTTTTTCTAGACTTGTGTTAGAAATATGCCACCACATTTTTTTTTCTAATTATGTCTTTATATAACAAAGGCAAATGAACTAACGCTTGAGAAGGATTGGGGATTGAGAGCAAAATTTAACTAATGCCGAATGTTCCATAAGATAAACAAAAATAGCAAAGGGTTGTTCGTCTGTTATGTTTCCGAGATCGAAAGGGAATGTTTCGAGTAAGTTTCAAACTCTCTTCAATTGTAACGTTTCGGCTATGTTTCACTAAATAAGTTTTCAAGTGCTACATTTCTGTAATGAAACAGAAACGTTTCTAGTTAATGTTTCAAATGTTCAGTAAAAGATCTCATTTGCAACGTTTCATTTACGTTTCGTGTTTAGTGGGACAGAACTTGTACAATACCCTGTATAGACGATACATACATAGCGGAACACATACTGGCAACAGACAGTGTCAACTTAAAATATTTGAATTCCCTAACAATTTATTAGGTTTCATTTCCATTGTTTCATCTTCAATACGTAAAACAAGAAATAAATCATACAACTTCCAACTAGGTATAGAATTGTATGCATATTTACAGCGCATTAGTTTTAACTTGAAAGTGGTTTGATCAGTACCTACTAAATTAATATTAACACTATAGGTATGTACAATTCACACATATCCCGGCTAGTTTATTCCCGTTTATTTACCGGATTAATTAAAAAATATAATTCCTTTGTGGCGAGACTTTATAGAACAGCCCTATTCGACCCGTATACATTATACCGGCTATTTACATATCAAAGAACATTCATTACGTCTGCTTAACTTCGCCAGTGGGCAATTTCATTACATAAAATCTGTTGCAAGTGCTTGTCGTCAATACGATATACAGTTTGTGGCCGTAACAAGGCGATTAAATATTTCGATTTCAATGAATATTAGACGAGACGAAGGTGCGGAAGTTGTGGGTAACTTACACTAATCAACGGCAGCAGGTTTAAACCAATAGGTGATGACTGGGAAGAGTTTAATTAATATACATTATACACTTTTTGAAATAGATGATAAAAATTTAAGACGTTTCCATTTTTTTATGAATATAATGACATTATAAACGTGAAATTAATTTAATGACAAAAATGTATAACTTTTTCTGAGGCGTAGGTTTCTTTCAACGGCAGCGCAATGTTTTCATGTAAATATTACTTTTACTTTAGTCAATATTTACCTATAAAGTTATATTTTTTCTCTTTGTTTCTTCTGCCATGGTATTTCTCATTTCAATAATGGAAGGCAATTAATATAAGAGTATTGTTTCAACAAGTAATTCTAAATGATATTAGAAATTTAATGTAAATTACACGATAGTTCAAATGATCTCACAAAATAGATTTTCACATTAAAGGCCTTCGACACCAGTCTACTATAATCCTTAAACAAACGGAAAAACAGTGGCGGCGTCTGTTGAGCATTTTTTTAACAATAATTTCGAACAGGGTACATATTTCTATAAAATACATTTTACTTTGACAGCGAAATTACCTTTTATTTTACCATTGTTTGTCTAGGTAGAAGAAGAAATAAAAAATTGTAATTTAAGTTTAATAAAGTAATAAGTAACTCAATTTCTTGTTGTTTTTTAAGATGAAAGTTTCAGATAAAATAAAATTATATTATACTTATTGCGGATGATGATGGTTTGTATTATTCTTGTGCATACAATTTCAATTCCTCCTTTGAATTTTATTGCAACCCCTACAACAAGAACAAACGAAATATTCGTCCGAAAAAGACTAAAAGCGTAATTTGTATAATGATCAGTGATAAATCAAATTCGCATGAAAGGGGTTACCTACTTTTTTGTGCCTGGGGCATGAATTGTTCACGCTTAAGCTTTTAAATGCAAATGGAGTTATTCCTACGAAATTTGCATACAAGAATATTGCGTGCTAACGTCTCATATAATTTGACCTTATTTTTTCTTAAGTTGTGGTCATAAAATAGAAAAGTTTTATCAACTTATTTTTTAAATGGTGATTACGTATAATGATTTATACACTAGGCAGCAAGACACTGACCTTCTTAATGCTATTACGTTTTTTATAAAAGGTCTAGGTGAATATTTAAACATTCCGAAAGATGGGTGAAAACGACTCTAATACTATAAAATCGATTTTTATAATAATACGGGAGCTAAATAGCTACTTACGTCGTAGATATAATATTCCACGCACCGAATGAAAATGAAACAGAATAATAGTTAAATCAAACACGAGCATATATTTACGCAGGGTTTGAATCATTGACGACAAACGCCTGATCCATAATTTTTAAAAAATGAATGGGCCAGTAAAGTTATAAAAAGTAAGATTTCTTTAAGGAAACAAGAAAAAACACTGAATCCAATGGAATCATACAAATTTGCCCGTTTAAAAAAACACTCCTGCGTCCTCGAATCATCCCTTGGGCCAATGTCGGGGGATGAAACTTTTTCTTGTAAAATGCATCCGGGAATTGGTAAGGGAGTAAAATTTTGGATATTTAGGTTAGGTAAGTATTTATTGGATATAAGGTAAGTAATCTTAGATTTAAAAATAAGATTATGTCCCTAAGATAATCTGAAGATATAAAATTTAATTTGGTGGCTATTCCGGTAATTATACTAAGTAACTGTCTATTTGGTTTGTCCCTATATCTATTCCTAATAACAGGATTAACAGGTATAGGTAATTTATTTATCATAATCTCTATCATACTTCTATCTTTGTATACAATAATTCTATTGCTACTTAAAACACCAAGACATCATCGTCATGCAGTTTTTTTTAGTAAGTGAAGTGGGCATGTGATGGTGCACATGATATAACAAAGCAATATAACCGTTTCGTGCACGTGCTTTTAAAACTTTAACTGCCTTTTAGGTCTGCATATTTATCTCAGGAAAGCATAGCCAAAATTCTAGAGTTGTTAGTTACGTAAAATTTCCGTTTACAAGAGCCTATCTATACCCATCTTTACAAACTACCTTGTTTTCATAACGCAAAACAAGACCCTTTTTCCATTACCACACAACAAATCTAAATTACTATTTAAACAGCTCTTACCAATCATGTAGAAATGTAAGAAGAACTATGTCAACATTTAACAACAGCCGGCTTAGCATTATACGATAAAAATATAAAGGCCCCCATTTTAATACTCGTCACGTTTTAGTCATCATTGCAGTTTTTTCAGTTACGAAACGCGATCTATTGTTCTGCGGGCGAGCGACGCATAGCGTCTAGAGCGTTGAGACGCCTGTAGCTCCCATAATAACAATTTCAGACGTCTCCGCCACCACTGATACTACCCCCACCTCCCTAATAAAATCAATGGCTCACATCTGCCGGTAAAACAGATTTCTACTATTCTCTCCTTTAAAAAAAATATTAACATTAGACAGCAACTGTCAAATAAAACTACATATATTTATTTAGTAATTTAGATAATAGGTCGATAGCAGTGAGTCTATTGAAAGTACATTCACTAATGATAAACGTGAATGAATCCGTGTGACTGTTGTTAGAGGTCATTGTTCCTGTTGAGTCTGTTACAGAGGAAATAACCTGCAAACTTTATCTGCAAATTTTGTTTTCATAGCAATGACGTAAATAAGTGACGTGTTTTCCCAGTAACTTTAAAAAGGTAACTACTAAATACGTAAACAACTATAAAACAGTCATGTCCATATCCTGTGGCAATGTGAACAGTGATGCCTGTCAACAAGTGCTTGTCAGAACGTTAGGAAGCATATTACTATAGTTATATTCCCGTATACATTTGTATTTATGAGTATATTTTGAAACAGGCAGTTGGTACAATTCGTTCAAACAATTTCCTTGTTGTAGACGATACATGAAGATGACCCCTCCGGTTGAGGAAGTTCGGAAACGTTCACCGTCTGATTATATATTCGGAAAGGTCCTAGGCGAAGGGAGTTTTAGTACGGTTTATCTAGCCAAGGATGTTCACACGAATAGAGAATATGCAAGTAAGTGTTAGAATTGAATAACAAAGAAACAAGTTTTTATATGTTAGCGTGTTTTGATTGATATTATTGACAAAATTTATTGTTTTCAGTTAAAGTTTTAGAGAAGGCTCACATCACGAGAGAGAAAAAAACTGAGTACGTTATGAGAGAAAAAGAGGTCCTGCGTCTGCTCGGAGGTTCTTGCCAGTACTTTGTACACTTATACTGGACGTTTCAGGATGCCGAACGACTCTACTTCGTCCTGACGTACGCCAAGAACGGGGAGCTCCTGAAACAGATCGACAAACACGAGTGTTTCAATATTGAATGCACGAGATATTACACAGCCGAGCTGGTCCTCGCCTTGGAATATCTCCACGGTAAGGAGATTGTACACCGTGATTTGAAACCTGAGAATGTGCTCTTCGATGAAAACTGGCACATCCTCATAACAGACTTTGGTAGTGCCAAAATAGTGAAGGAAGAAACCGAAAGGTGCGATAATGAAAGTGATACGAATTTTCGTAAACGGCGTAACAGTTTCGTGGGAACAGCACAATTCGTGAGCCCGGAGATGCTGACGGACACGTCGTCCTCTTATGCCTCGGACCTGTGGGCGTTGGGCTGCATCGTCTACCAGATGGTGTCAGGTCTCATGCCGTTCCGGGGCGGCAGCGAATACTTGATATTCCAGAAGATTCTGAATTTGGAATACGAGTATCCGGAGGGATTCGACAAAATTGCTAAAGACTTGGTAGAGAAATTACTCGTTATAGTGCCTAATAAGAGGTTGGGGGCGATTGACGCTAAGCCTTACGTGAGTATAAGGGAACACGAACTCTTCAACGGGTTGAATTGGGTCAATCTGGGACCACCACCAATTATTTCCGACAGCATAAGCGAACACATAATTCCCGACCATCTAGAGCCCGGCTTGGACGAAGAGAAGGTTTCCAGGTTGCAGTTGGATTTGTTACCGCCGGCGCCGACGCCGTCCCGGAAAAAATCCCAGCCTGGCAGGAAGATCACGGATTTGAGCCCGGACGAGATCAAGGAGAGGCTCGACGAGCAAAAGACTAATCTCTATCACACGTTTGTTGGCGGGAACTTGATACTCAAGCAGGGTTTGGTCGACAAGAAGAAGGGGTTGTTCGCCAGGCGGCGGATGTTCCTGTTGACATTGGGGCCCCATCTGTATTATGTGGATCCCGTGACTATGGTCCTGAAGGGGGAGATACCGTGGAGCGGGGATCTCAGAGCCGAGGCGAAGAATTTCAAGATATTTTTTGTTTATACGGTAGGTTTTGTTTAACGGGAAAATTAAGGTTCGTATATTTCAAATTCCTATGGATGTTACTACCGGGTGTTGCAATTTTCCACTGACAAATTTCCATGGGTACTTTTTTGATTAAAAATATGCAAAAAGTGACAATTTCATTATTATTTCATTTGTTCTCATTTATTTTATATGCCCGTTTCAAGATAATCTGCTTAAATTTTGTTTAAATAAGTTTTATTTTTAATATTCAAAGAATTTATTTATTTATTGAAATTTATCAAATGCAAATCAAAACCAGTATAAAAATATATGTACTTAATAAAATTACAATAAAAGAAATACAGAAATACAAACAAAACCATGAATTTAAAAAAAAAAAATTAAAAAGGTTGTACAAATCATCTTTTGTAATAAACTCAAACTTGACATCACTGTAACTCTGCCATTTTTTGTTCGATTTTAAGAAACAAAAGATTATCGGTAACGTCTAGACTCACTATAATTTTTTTATTTAGTGCTTACCTTAATGAGCTATAATAATTCTTTTTAAATGATACAATATATTAATTATTACTCCATCTGTCACATATTTTTCTCTTGATCCTACGATAAATGAAACTATGCAAATTATTCGTTAATATAAGTTTGAGCTTTATAGCAGATTTGTTAAGTGTGCAATGAAAACAATCAAATCAGGTATAAATGTCATTTGAAATAAAAACTTATCATGTAGATGACAGCACATGTACATTGCCAGTCTTTTGTTTTCCAAAAACCAAACTTGTGAATTTTCCTCGAAATCGTTGTTGTGATAAGTTACTGGGATGTACAACATATTTAAAGAATAATCATTTTTTCAGTATTTTAACCATCATTACCGCTTTAATCATGATTATGGTTCCTTAAACGGTTTTGAACTGGTATTATCGAGTTTTGCACCCAGCAAATTATGTTTAATGCAACCGATACAAAATTTGCCCCGTAACACAAATATGAAATCTTGCAAATGATAATATTTGTGTCGAATATTAATACTTTTTGTATTAATATCATTTTTTTATTTGTTTAGGCCTATCCAGATACAAATTCCAACGAAATTTAATCAATTTCAGTTTGCATATAAGTCTTTCATGAGATAATATTTGGATAAAATTTAATATTGTCAGCTAAATTATTTGTATATAATTAATATTAATAATACATATGTTTGTCCATTCGTTGACAGATAAGATAGGTAGGTATATATGTTTTATGTGATAATAATGGAATATTATCATTTCATTAAAATGGACTAACACTCATAAACTTCAGTTTGTAAAGTCCAATAATTAATAAAATATATCGTCTTAAGCTTTAAATTCATCTGAGAGGGACACAAGTAATATTGCAAATGAATTTGAGACATTTATTACACCATCTTGATGCGTACTCTTCATTTCTAGACCAAAGAAACGAATTAAAATTAAAATTTTTTTGACAAATAATGCAAAGATCTGATTTAATTAAGCTATTCATCTTGTAACATGAACGTTAATAATTCTACATCTTCAGTGCAATTTTGAAGTACGACTACAAACAAGTTTTAAAAATAAATGACAATCGTTTAAAACAAAATGCATTAAAAAGGCGCGGAAAATTTGAAATATCAAAGATATAATGTTTGCATGGTTAATTCTAATTTGCTTTGTAAACATTATTATACGATTTATATGATAAAAATTAGCGAAATTATATTAGTTTTATTTATAAACGATAATAAAAAAGTTTATACTTACTTGTATTAAAAGCGTAACACCGTATAATTTAGGTGTTTTTATAATTAATATTTTATAAACTTGTATAATAATTTTAATTATTGTAATATTATAAATTTTTATTAAATTGTGAATGTTTCGTTCAGTTTTCATTGTTTCTTTGGTCTAGAACTGAAGAGTACGCGTCAAGATCGTGTATTAAATGCCTGTAAGAAGGCAACCGCTCTCTTACATACATGGCGGCGCACCCTTCTGAACGCTCAATCGCTATTTGTTTATAGCTTCAAATAACAGTGGAAAAAACAAATTTTCACACTGAAATTACTCATAATTTGTAGTATTTAACGTGAACTTTCAAACGCCGTCAGCAGAATTACAAAATACCTATTCAATCAAAAGTTATTAACAATTGAAAATCGCAAAAATTGCATTTTTCGAGTTTTTAATGGTGTTTATCTTGAAAAACTGCATTTAACAAAAAAATTACAAGACATTTTCTTCTTAAAATGGGTCAAATAACAAGAAAATACTTTTTATTTTGCCAAAAACTAAGATCTCAGTATTTTGCAAGTTTTTTTGTTAATAAAAAACTTATCGACATCCGGGCAAACTTCTACCCAAAAAATTCGTGTTCTGCAGCTCAAAAAACACTTGGGTAACTCCATCTACAGGACTAAAACGCAGACACTGAAAAATGTGACTTGATATTTATATCAAATACTTTTTAATTTATCAGCACAATAGTTTAATATAAGCGCTTTTTGAAAACCGTAAAGGTGTTAATGCGAGGACCAGCGATCCATTTTATGCAAAAAAAAATGAAAGACTGCTACATTTTAATTATGTTGTGATGTTAAACAGTTATTTATGTACCACCTTCAATTTTTTTTAAATCTATTCATTTCATTCAGATAGTTTTAAAAAATAGTTTACTTACAGCCTCTTAGTTGTTAACGAAGTTGTATTTCTTGCAGCCGAACAGGAAGTACTATCTAGAAGATCCCGAGGGCTATGCCCTAGAGTGGTGTAAGGCCATCGAGGACGTGAAGACACATTACTTCCCCGAGAAGTCATGAAAGTGGGATTAAATTCCCAAATCACTACCTACACTGAAATTGGCAACTTAGTTTCTCTATTTATTTATATTTTAAATTATTTATGTACTAGATTGTAATCATATTAATTATTTCATGTGCTAGTTTACTTTTTATTTATAAAATTACCTATTGTTTAAACAAAATATTCGATTAAAGTAGTCAATCTGGTGACTTTAGTTTTATTTCGTTTCGATGTTGGCAGCGCTTTAATTCAACATGGCGCTGGCTGAAAGTTATTGTGACATATGAGTGCTTTGATATAGATTTTTTTGGACAATTAAATTGACTTTTCTGCGTACGGAGTGGTGTTATTGGCCCGGGACACTACCCTAAACTATGTGTTAAAGAAATGCTGCCTAATTATTTAAGGTAAGGCATTTACGTGTGTTGTTTTTTTGTTACGTTTTGGAATATACCACCCACCCACTCCGATTTATCTGCCACATGATATTTTTGCTTACCAGATTTTCCACTCTGGATAAACATTTTCAATTTTTTTCCAAGTATATCCCTAAAAACGATTACAAATTTATAGGTGGAGTGGCTATTTTGCTTTATTACCGGCTTTTTGTCTGTTTAAATATTTGACAGTTCACTCGGTTCCCAGTTTGTTTATATAGTAGGTACACATAAACATTTTTCTTTTTGCAAAACCGGCTGGACGGCCGAACAATGGTAATGAAATATTTATTATCTTCTCGATGCGGCCAATTTTCTTGGCATATTTTTACACGACGCTAAATCAAAACGATTCTTTCAAATAGTATTATCAACTAATTAATATTGATAAATTTCATAAATAAAACATTTAATAGGTATTACAGAATAGCTATTTTTATTAGTAACCTGCTGTTACACCAACATATGTTTGGGTGTTTGTAAGCAAATCGTCGTAAGTTGACGATAAATAACTCAATCGCCTTTACATTTTTTATCTATAAATATTCAATTTCAGACAGATATACTAATTTGTTAGTTAAAGTCCTCGATAGAGTCATTGTACTTTTTCTTATTCTATTCTAATTTCGCATTTAAATAAAATTGCAACTTGCAAGTAAAAATAGTTCTAAATTTAATTAGTTCAATATCAATCACGCTAGATTAGGTTTCATTTGTTTATAAAGTTTGTACTTGACATTTTTTAACTCTGAATTACACATACCTACTTATTTTACTCTTATTTTTCTCTCATAAGGTTTGAAAAAGTGGCTGTTACTTGTAGGTTCCTTATCTCTCTTGTTAATGTATATTTTCATATTTTGATATGTGGTTAGTATTTATATTTGATGTTTGTTGATAGAAAAATCTATAAACTGGCACTGTTAGATTATCAATATTTTGACTGACCCAAGCCGTTATATGTTGCGCCTGGATGCAAAAGATGTCGCTCTTTGTCCCTTGCCCCAGGTTGTGGTTCTGAACTTCAAATAGCGACTATTTATAATATTTTTTAATCAAGATCAATCTATTCAATCGAATAGTAGATATAAATAAATATTTAACAGGTCATATCTTTCAAAATAAAACTGATAATTTAAATCTGTGTGCGTTGCGAAAGGTTTTTAGCTGTATGTAAGATTCTGGAATAAGTATAGATAAACAAAAAATTGTCAATATGTCCCGATAGCATTTAAAGGAATTAAACATTTGGTACTGTTTTAGGGTCGACTCATTAGTTTTTATTAATTGTTTTTAAAAAAATTTGATTATTAGGGTTAAGTATATTCCAGGTTGGTTTTTTTATGCTTATACATTATTTACATACCTATTACTGAAAACCGAACACCGTTTTTCTATTTTCATTTTTAAATTAAATGTAGCATACGAGAAAACAATCCTTGGTTTAGGTGAAGTTATTTAAGGAATTTCATCTCGTAATATATACTAAAAGTAAAACAAGCAAACTCTAAATCATGAAACATAACAAATATAATTTTATAGCAAACTCATAAAATCGTGGTTGACCAATTATTTCATACTAGGAAAGAGTTTTTATTAGTATCTATAATCGGTTACAAAGGCCTTAAGCCAATGGGATGGGAATTAGTTTATTTTGAAGTATATTTTGATGTATCCTGACATTTTTATAGAGGGGACACAGTAAATAAATATACAGGGTGTTGTAATTTGTAAACAAATGAACCGCGCTAACATATTTATTTGTATATTGACGCAGGCGAGTCTTTCCCCAGGAAAACTAGTCCATAACAGTTTAAAAATTTATTTACATGTTTGTTCTCTTGCGCTTGTGAAACTGAAATTTCCGATACACGTTTTCGCATAAACTTATAGAATAACACAATATTTTTTATTTTGAATTGTTTAGCTTTCATGAATCACGTATTTTTGTAACTTTTTAAGCAAGCACAAATGTAAAAGTTAGATTATTTATTAGGTGATCTTACTTAATACAAATTGGAATGAATTTAATAATCATTTGGGATGATTTCATTACGTTGTAAACATCGTTATAAAATGTATTTATTAACGTTCTGCTTGTAAGATCGCATTGAAGTTTTGAATGTACCAATCAAAATATTTATGTTACCTATATGGAAACATACAACAAACCTTTATTTTACAAGTTCCAGACTTACGTAATTATTTTCCATACTATATGATTTTTCCATATGGTGCGAGTTATTTGCGGGATAATGTGTTTCGGAAAATATAGTTAATACATTTTTTTTCAATGAGTATCACATAATATTCCCAAGTTTCACCCGTAAATATTATTTTTTAATTATTTAATCGCGGCAGATGTTTTGCCCTATCCATTCAAGTAAGTATGTGATTAAATAATATTATATTTCAGGAATTTTGCATGAAAAGTCGTTTTAGGTGGATTTCGGAAATTTTCGTCTACTTTCATCTACAATATTTTTAAATAATATTGTGGTATCATTTTCTATGATCTCTCAAACAAATTTAAGCATAGGATTTAACCTAATTCATCAAATAAAAAGTCTATAAAGCGAATGTGCATGAAACAATAGGAAAATTATGAGTAGCAACTATTTTTGGAATCGTAACGATAGGTAGTAAAAATACCACATAAACAGTATGTATGTAAAATGTAATTTCAAATCAAAACGGAATGCCATAAAACCATGTACAACTGTTAGTTGTATAGATTTAAAACGAATTCACCTAATAATTCCTTTTTTAAAATAATTTTATGGTTTCTGTCCTAAAAATAGGCATACAGAAGGTAACAGCGCTATGAAAAATTTAGGGTTTGATTTTTTTAGTTAACTTAAAAAACAAGAATAACCAGCACTAAAGGTTTTTGAACTGATATGAGTTCGGGAGGTGCGGCTCTTAAAGGGGTAGTACTCGGCTCACTTTCTCAGTTTTTTTTTCAGTCCTAAGTAGACGCGAAGGAAATACAATAAACGTTTCAAATAAAATTACAACTTTTAACTTAATCTCTCATAAATATCATTGAATTGCCACAAGAGAAATAAATAAGTTTAGGTGAAAATTTTACACCTGTCATTTTAAGCCAATTACAACTGTAACTTCGACAGTTGCCCATGGCAACCTTCAAATTTTTCGGAAATTTTTTTCCTCTTTTTTTTTTGACAGCTATAATATGGTTAAAAAATCAGTACCTATCCAGAATTTTGTTTTGTAATTATTATTTAAAAATAATAAATAGATACAAATAATTATTTACCAAATATTTGTTCCGAGATTTCTTCTATTAACGCTAAATGTTTTTGAAATTCTGGCTGGAACTCTTCTCTTCGCAACGGAGAGTAACGAGGAACATAATTAAGTATTACCTTTATTTTTCATTTCCATCAGATGTCTGTGTTTCATAAAATATATATGTAATAATTTGATGAAATTTTGTTCTGCTGAGCTCTGGTTTTACGTAAAAATGATGGGATATCTTCCTCCAAAATCTTTTCAATAGCTGCGAAAAGATTTTCTTGATGCGGACTGATTCCAGTTTTTTTCAGTAAATATGGCAAATACTTTAAATTTTTATGAGACATAAGAATTTTGGTGCAAGAATTACATATACTATAAGGTTTAAATTATTTTTTGGTTGTTCAGTGCCATGATTTAATTGTAAACAATTAGAAGCTACTGTCAACGTGACGTATAGCGAAGACGATTTTGACATCACAAGCCTAAGCCTACTTGATTGGAGTTATGGATTTTTTAAGAATCATGGATATATTGCCATAGATATCGGTTTTCCACAAAAACTTACTTTCCTTCTATTTTAGTAATACTAATTGAATTATACTGCAAACATAAATATCTGAATTCAAAAATTAAATGCCTTTTTTATTACTAAGGTGAATGTATTGTGCTGTTTTTTATGTTTAATAAGGATCATTAATAAACTGTCATAGACATCGCATTTCTACAAAAACTTACCTTCCTTCTATTTTAGTAATACTAAGTGAATTGTACTGCAAAGATAAATAAATATTTGAATTTAAAAATTAAATGCCTTTTTTATTACTAAAGTGCAAGGAATGTGTTTTTTATGTTTTAATAAGAATCTTTGATAAACTGCATTAGGCAACGCTTTTCTACAAAAACTTACTTTTCTTCTATTTTAGTGAATTGTGGTTGCAAAGTTAAATATTTAAATTCAAAAATTAAATGCCTTTTTTATTACTAAAGTGCAAGGAATGTGTTTTTTATGTTTTAATAAGAATCATTGATAAACTGCCATAGACATCACTTTTCTACAAAAACTTACTTTCCTTCTATTTTAGTAATACAAAGTGAATTGTGTTGCAAAGATAAATATTTAAATTCAAAAATTAAATGCCTTTTTTATTACTAAAGTAAAAGGAATGTGTTTTTTATGTTTTAATAAGAATCTTTGATAAACTGCCTTAGGCATCGCTTTTCTACAAAAACTTACTTTCCTTCTATTTTAGTAGATAATACTAAGTGAATTATTGCATTTGAATTAAAAAATTAAATGTCTCATTTATTACTAAAGTGAAAGGAACGTGTTGTTTTTTTGTTGTAATTTTCATTTCCAAAACGAGCCATTTTTGAATTTAAAAAACGCGTGAAATGCGATTAAATTATGTGACGTTTAAGAAGAAAAAAATATGTCATGCACCACAAAACAATGTCTACCCGTCAAACCAACTTTATTTTGGCGAAATAAGTTTCAAAATGAAACGTGTCAAATTTTTAAAATAAATGTTGGTTGTAAAATTTTCTTACCGAATCCCCCACGTCCTTGAATTTATGTCCGGAAATTTTTCCTCAATCAAACATTTTTCTAGAAAATGCGTTCCTTCGGAAAGATTTCCAGAAATAATTCAAGCACTAGGGAGATGAAGAAAACATGGCCAAAATCAGCATTTTAATTATTTCGTTGTTCCTAGTCTGCTTGATGGCCATTGAATATTTGCCATCTCAGACATTATAAGTTGGGTCCTGCGAGTAATAATTAATGTCTTAACTACGTCCGTCGGATGGGAGGCAATCAATTCAAATAAAACAAATACAAAAACCGTTAATATTCCTCGCTAAGTCCATCTACCAAAACAAATTTTATTGCGATCGCGGCCCGGTGATGAGCTGTGAACGTGCAGGCCCCACCCCGAAGACGCCGCCGCGACGCCTAGCGTCTCGGCAACCTTCGGCCGCGGCGTCGAGCCGTTTGCTCGTTTTTCCGTTCGCCTTTCAGTACGTCGCCGCAAGTGACCGCCGTCCGGTGCCCAGCGTCTCGCGCGCCACCTAGCATACCCAAAAAAAAAACATTTGTCTCGACCGGGAGATGTCTTGCTGGCTGTACAGGGTGGTGGCTGCCGGCGTGCTACAGGATGGTGGCGTATGAGCTTGCCAACTTCAGCAGCTAGACCATGCCCGTGAGCACGGGGTTACTCGGAGAACCTCGCGCTAAGCGCTGCAAACTTTGCGACGGTAACGACACCCCCCCGCCTCCCCCCAGTGTGTGTGTGTGTGTGTGTGTGTACATGTGCAGTGTTTCCGCCGCCCCTCCCCATGTTTAACCGTGTGGCTTTCGGTGGTTTGATGTTTGCTATTAACACGTTAAGCTAACTTACGAAACTGAGCTAGTACTAATTCGTGCAAGTCTGGGCACGAATACAACGGAAACAAAATCTGAAGTAAAAGCTTCAAACACTTACTCGAAGCTTGGCGGTTACACTGACATCGCTAGATGAAAACAGAAACTTGTATTTACATGTGAGGGGTTACACTGTAACATTAAACAGTTTGGATCGATTTGATGCGATTAATTTGTTAAGAATTCGTTATAATTTCATACGAATTCGCATTTCGTGTAACCATCACCCTTGACTATATACGCTCAGTCAAAGCCATCACCTAACGCACTGTAGTAATTCTAGTCTTCAGGCGAATGTTGTAAAGGATAATCGCAGGATTATAGCATGTCGGGGATTAGCTTAGAACTTGTAAGACTGGGTTGACAATAACATTTGACAAGGAGAAAAAATATAATAAACAAAGATTTACTACGAAAAGTTCTACATATTGTAGCTTTTGCTACATGACGATAGACATTTTTAAAATATTTTCCGATTGTTTACAAATTCTCTATTATTATTATTATTTGAACAAAAGTCGCGTTAATTAAAGTTTGATAAGCAACATAGTTAAATATAGGAAGAAAATAGTACAGTCTTAACAGTATTCAAGTATAATCTACGAACGAATTTGGACAACACTGTTAAATATGATTTCAACTTTTATATCTTCACATATTACTAACATTTGCAGTTATCAAATGTCAATAAATAAGAAAATGTAACGCCTTGTTTATTGCCATTAGTCTTGTACAATTATTCACAACCAAAAACAAAATTTAACACGTCTGTATATGGGAAAGCTAATTAATAAAAAAGCTTAAAAGCAACAGGTCCAACAAATAGTCAGATCTGTCAATATTTTCTACCATATCTAGAATTATTTATAACAGATGCTGCAGAGATCCAAATACGTGACAAATATATCTCTAAAACCATTTACATAAAGCTTTTTCTAATCTAATCCGTGCTGGATAAATATGATTGACTTTCATGTTTTAGTACTAGCCCTAATCTATGCCACTCCAACATTATGTATAACATGATTGAAATAGGTCAGTTAGTAAGGGCAAAAAGGATTAATAAAACTATAGCTTTTAACATACCATTAGGCATTTGTTTAATTGTTTTATAAATGTATTGTATTTTTATGAAAAAGTAATGTTACGTTTTACCAACCACAAATTAATATTAACACCAATTATTTCTGTTAAAGTTAATAAACTCGCAAAGTTATGGTAGGTGGTTTCATGTATTTTTGTGAACTCTTATGAAGGCTTATTAAGGTTCCAGAATATTTGAAATAATTTAAGAACCCGTTATTACTACCTAGACTTGGTCATTAGACATAAATTAAATACTAAACGTATTTTAATAATTTCCTTCACATAATTAGAACAATTAAAATAATTTATACTTAACTATACTTTTATATACATATAAATCGATATGAAAAGTTGGACCTCATCTAAAAAAATCGGCTAACCGTCTAGTTCTTTAAGTGAAAATTTAAATTTTAAAAATGTTTACAAAACTTTGCTGAAGTAATCATCCTTGAGATACGTGAGCTTAGCGCCATCCTTCAAGGATACCACAAGGTTGTTTCCTACGCTGTAGTCGGCTAAATAAAACCTGTACTGATTTTTCAATACCATGTGCCCACCATTGGAGGAATTCCAGATTTTTTTACGAAAAGTCATTAGCGATGATGTATGTCGTTCTATTATTTTACGTCCTCAAAGGAAACTTGTTGAATGCGGTGGTTTGATAAAAGTTTACGAGTCAGAACCCATTGATCATTTGAAAATTTATCATTCCTTTTTACTTGGCAAAATTCGAAAATGTTCATTATTGTTTGGTTATTCCAATGGGGATTAAATCTGTAAATTTAATAGGCCCTAGCAATGAAATATTGTTATACACAAATTTGAATACTGTAAAATCCTTAACTCTTTTGTTATTTAATTTTAATATTCTCTGCTTCTATCTTACCTTCTACCCCTGTTAACTTCTCATGTTGTCCTTGTATTTACTAAGATTGACCTATATTAAATCTGGAGCTGACGATTTTACACCTACTAACCCACACTACATGTAACACGTGCTATGTTTTATACTTGGTTGACAAATTTCTGACACACGACCTCGAATTGTATCTTTCATTCCACTATTTAACACAAACTGACAGTTTTTACATCTATTTCGATACATTGTGTTCAGTTTATAAATACGTACAACGCTGTTTATTTGTGAGAAACATTTTTGCTAGGTTTTTAGAAATAGAAAAAGGCAATGGAATTGGGAGCATACAAAGCTTATTGGAAAAGCAAACAAACATAGAAAGTAACACTTTTTCCTAAAATGATTGTTGTATTGCTTAAAATGTTATATTATTCTAATGCTCTTTGTTATGGTTCATGAACTTTAACCGCAAAATGTGCGTTTTACAAAAAAAAAATTGGAAATCGTTTGTCCAAATCTGAAAAAGTTATAAAGGTGTTCCAAAACACCATGTATATAAATGTTCCGAAAATATTGAAAGAATAAGTGTTACATTTTTGTACATCATGTATATTGGAAACTATTTTCTGCATTGTTGTTATTTGTGTGTTCTTTACCACTTATTTGCTGATCTGCTTTCATTCTTTCTTTGCGTATGAAGCAGTGCAGCTTAATACTTAAACGCATTGGAGATATTTTAATGCCAAGGCCTGTAACATTTTTTATTCCGGTAACCTGCGGATTTTTGTCGTGCCATACAATTACGTGCAACAGTCGACACCTCCACATTAACCCGCGATATCGAGTCGGTAGTCGGTGCATTTAGAGTCCAACAATACCGGTTGGTCACGCTGGCGTCTCTGGATGTATACAGCGTTGCCAGGTGAAGTTAATCCAATCGACCAGTCCGGTAATATTTAATTTATGATTCGTTTTTACGTTTACCGCAACCCCTCAACCCCTGAATATGTGGTGAAAAAATCAGGTCGATAGCTCTAATATCAGCTGTGATAAATAATTGTTAATTCGTTGGGAGAACATCTGTGACGTCACGCCACTCGACTGTGTGCCAAGTATGTGGGCTAACCTTTAACAAGTTGTATGACGTCACAACTTGCCTTTAATGCTCCGAATTATTTTGAGGGAGAAATTGTTGGAAAAAAAATCGGATTTTTTTCACATCAACTAACTACGATGTGCACCTTCTGAATTTCTTTAAGAAAGTTCCTCCCGTAATAGAAATGTAACACTTTAAAGTGAAAACTAAATGATATTTGATGTAAATGCTCATAAATAAACACAAATTTAAATAAAGTCTAGTTTCTTTATTCTTAAACGTGAAGAAAATCTCCACGTCCGGCAACGCTGGACGTATCTTAGGAGGTCTATTAATATCGCGGCATACATTCCCTAACCGTGTCCGACAAACTCGGGCTTAAATCCAACTGCTGCTTTCATATTACCTACGAATCGCGGAGAATTATTTATCTGAGGCTCCCAACTCAATTTCAATTACGTGCGTCGACATTTCAACATCTTTTAGACCGAATTTATTCTAATTAGGGCCCTGATTAGGCGATTCTTCACCGGGACGCGCGAGACGGCGACGGAATAATATTTACTGCAATTTGGATGGTTGCGTGTTTCTTTTCTGATATCTTGCTTGCTCGGTTTGTCTGATGAGAGTTAAATTATATTTGACGCCTTGAAATTCAGGCACTTTTGGTACCTAATTGGGCTTTCAATTTATGAAAATAACCCTTCCGGGGTTGAAAATAAAACTTTTCTGCTGTTCTGCCTGACATTTGGTTCAATATGTCTGTCATTTTCAGTCATTTCTATCACGAGGTTTGTTACCAGAACAATTAAAGGATATAAAAAAATTCTACATTTTTCGATGTGAAAAAAAGTTCTATTTTAAACATTTTCTATGCAATCAATAGCTGTTTTCATTAAAATGGACACCTGGTATACAACTCCTTTGCGGTGACCGGATTGTAATTCGTAATATGCATTGAAAACTATTAAAATTCTGCTCATAATCGCAGCTGACTGAGATCAAGGACTTACGTACGATTGCTTGTTACTCCGTAGCACGCTTTTATTTACCTCTAAAAGAGAAGCAAAAGAGCAATTCACTTCAGTTTACAAGATACATTATTAGTTCTTTATTTCAATTTTTCTTTCTATAAACGTGCTTTACCATAAGGGTATTTAACCTTTTCGAATCCCTTTGGTATTCCGTATGGAGTCCAGGTGACCCAAGGCAAACACTATTATTGGTTGTCGCTTTACGGATACTCCAGAACGTTATATGGGTTTCCCTTTGCCCTTCACGGATAGAATTTTATCGCAAAACCGAAATATCATCATCATCAATCATATGATGCTGACCTGGGGGAAGATATATAGGATGCGATTTATATAAATATAAAAAAACAAAGATTCTGTAGAATTTTAAGCGGTTGACGAGCCTGAGGTTATCTGAAGATGCTGTCGACCTTTAAAGAGAACTTTGTAAATAATAATCAAGTTTCAATAATTTAATTTTGCTTTTTGATTTTCGTAATTTCATTCAGTTTATATAAAGAATGATCAAAGACAGTATGTTTTGTGTTTAAAATTTATTTTATTCTTTGTGGGTTTTCTAATCAATATTAAACCCAACTTCACTTATAATTGGGTGATTTATATGTAGTACCTACACCGTTTAGATTAGAAAACAGTATATTAAAATTATATTGGAAGTGGAACATTATTAGAAGTCAGAAATTTCGTTGCCTCTTAATTTTTCATTTTTCTTAACATTTGTATACGTTTTAATTCGTTGTTTGTTTAAAAATTGTAAGATTT